CCGCCTGCGCTGGCCTGACCCTCCACAGTGACCCTGCGACCGATATGTCCGGCTCTGACGACAAGGGAGACTCGACCCTCCCGCTTGCCGGGGCCGATGCTCGCGAAACCTCCGCTTCGGAGAATGAGGTGAACGATGTGGAGATGGACATGGTTCCGACAGAAAAGGACGACAGCCAGACCCGTTCCGACCACCCGGATTCGATGGAAACCACCACGTCGGGCGACGACAACGTAACCAACTCGGCGTCGGACAGTGTGTATCCCACTCCTTCCAGCATGTCCACCTATACCGCCCCCACAGAGACCCGGGCCCATTCTAAAGCAGAGGCCGGCGTTGCGTCAGCTGATCGACCCTCTTACGATGACCAGGTCGCACAGGTGACCCAGTTTATGATGCAGCCCATGAAGGAAAAACAAAAGGGATATGTGGTGTCCAATTCGTGGCTGAAGCGAGTGTACTCGCGGAGTGCTACGCATGCAGACAAGGCAGACAAGACGGCGATGGAGGGAGACATCGGTCCCGTCGATAACTCGGATATTGTCCTGGTCACTGACCCGGCCAACACGGGCTTCAAGGACGAGGAGGGCGAACCCTTTGTTCCTTTGAGGCCTGGCTTGGAGCTCGGCGAAGATTTTGAGATCATCCCTCAAGGAGGCTGGGACCTGATCATGCAGTGGTATGGTTTGGCAGAACAGTCCCCGGCCATCGTCCGTTACGTTCACAACACCGCCGCCGTAGGCGACCAGGAGAACCTGCAATACGAAATCAACCCTCCGATCTTCACGATCTTGAAGCTCACGAACCCGTCTGCCGGCACTTCCATCAAGACGATGAAGGAGAAGACGATGGCTCCAGTGAGAACCCTGGCCAGTCGCCACACCAACTTCCAGAAGTGGCTGAAGAACGCCAAAGAACTTGCTCACATCGACATGTCGACAAAGGTTCGCGTTTGGAGGATTCTGGGTGGTCTCGGTAGTGCCACGGCATCCGCAGCAGCCACCCCAGCCGCATCCCGCAGTGCTTCTCCAGCCCCGTCCGCCTCCCTCATCGCCAACGCTGGAAGCAACCTCGTTCTCGACCTGAACACATTCCTTTCCCTGTCTGAGGGGTCGCAGCGTGAGGTACTCGATGAGCCGAAGGACCAGACGAACAATCCCAACTACAATGGTAAAATGACTCTGGGCGTTGCGGGTCTCAACAGCAGCGAAATCATCGTGTTGGAGGAGAAGCTCCCTGGAACCAGCGGAGACTGGGTGTCGGAAGCCTCCAAGCAGACACTCAACCGTCTGGGGGTGCCATCCGGTAACCTGAAGAACGGAGCTCCTGCAAAGGTGAAGACCAAGAGTCCTGCTACCAGCGGGCGATCATCCCCGGTTTCAGAGCCCATCAGGGGACGACGCAAGGACGGGAAACCCCGCGGCTGCACTGGTCTGAGCAACCTTGGGAACACCTGTTACATGAACTCGGCCCTGCAGTGCGTTCGCAGCGTGGAGGAATTGACCTACTATTTCTTAAGTGCGTAGACTCCCGAAGTTTGAAAGTTTACCCTGCTAACTATCCATCTAGATGACGTTTACAAGAAGGATCTCAACCCCAGCAATCCTTTGGCTCACAACGGTGATGTCGCTAAAGCATATGCGAACATGTTGCGTCAGATGTACGATGAGGCAGGTCAATCTTCGTTTGCGCCCCGTCAACTGAAGCACACCATCGGCCGTTATGGACCGGCCTTTTCCGGTTACGGACAGCAGGATTCCCAGGAATTCCTTCTGTTCCTTCTGGACGGTCTCCAGGAGGATCTCAACCGTATCATGAAGAAGCCCTACATTGAAAAGCCGGACTCGACGGACGAGATGGTGCATAACAAGGAGGCTCTCGCGGAGTTTGCGGACAAGTGCTGGGACATCTACAAAGCCCGCAACGATTCCGTCATTACCGACCTCTTTGCTGGTATGTACAAGTCGACGCTGGTCTGCCCTGCTTGCGACAAGGTCAGCATCATTTTCGACCCTTTCAACAACCTGACCCTTCAGCTTCCAATCGAGAACCTCTGGGGCAAGGAGATTTTCTACTTCCCCTTGAACAAGAAGCCGGTCCTTGTCGATGTCGAAATCGACAAGAACGCCAGTGTCAAGGCGCTGAAGGAGCAGGTCGCAAAGAAAATGGGAACCGACCCTGAGCGCCTCGTGATGGCTGAGATCTACAAGAACAAGTTCTACAAGATGTTCGACAACACGAGCTCGATTGCTGAGTGCCAGATCAGCGGCAACGACGACATTGGTATCTACGAGGTCGAGTCGGTACCTACGAACTACAACCCCGACAAGCCCCAGAAGAGCTACTTCTCCTTCAGCCGCTCGGATCATGAGGAGATCCCCAGTCTGGACTCGCCTCGCTCTGACCGCTTGCTCGTCCCCATCTTCAATCGAGTCGAGAAGAAACGGGGAAACAACCCTAAGAATGCGCAGCGGTCGCTCTTCGGAGTTCCGTCGTATGTGGTCATCAACCGGGAGGAGTTTGGGGACTATGATACGATCTTCCGCAAAGTCCTGTCGCAGGTCGCCTCGATGACCACCCGTGACTTCCTGAATGAGGAGAACACGACAGAGGTCAGCCATGAAGACTCAGATACCGTTATAATGAACGAGGATGATGCGGAGTCGGCTGACTCGAAGATCAAGACCGCGTCCGTGGACGGCGAGGACGGCATGGTCGATGTCTCGATGCGTGACGCAGATGACAGTTCAAGCGATGCTCCAGCCCGCTCCGAAAACGCTATTCCCCCGAATGTGCGCGGTCTTTTTGAGATGAAGATCATCAAGTCGAGCAGCGAGGTTGTTCCCACTGGATGGTCCACCGTGGATGACCACAAGGAGTACCCCAAGATGTCGTTCAGAATAAAGACACCGGTGAAGAAACAGAAACAGGTGAGCAGTTTCCTCTCTTTTCAAAGCGAATCACTACTAAGCGATGGACAGTCTGTGGACAGCACAAATGGAACGGAGCAGAAGGATGACGAGTCCGGAGATAAGAGCTCCGACAGCGCCAGTGGTGAATCGGCTCCCAAGCCCAAGGCTCAGGACCGGCCGATGATCCGCCCCGGTGAGGGTATCGTCGTGGACTGGACTGAGCAAGCTCACGACGCTCTCTTCGCCGGAAGCAGTCGAGACAAGAACTCCCTTCGTGGTGCGCCGACATGGACGGACGTCGAACGTGTGCCTGACCCGGAGCTGAGCAAGCGCCGTACTCTGCGTCAGAACCGGAAGAAGCGGGGCGTGACGCTCTACGAGTGTCTGGATGAGTTCAACAAGGAGGAGGTCCTTTCCGAGAACGATGCTTGGTACTGCCCCCGCTGCAAGGAGCACCGTCGGGCCAGCAAGAAGTTCGAATTGTGGAAGACCCCGGACATTCTGGTCATGCACCTCAAGAGGTTCAGCGCCAGCCGCGGATTCCGCGACAAGCTGGATGTCCTGGTCGACTTCCCTGTGGAAGGACTCGATATGACCGGCAGAGTTGAGTCGCCTGAAGAGGGCAAGAGTCAGATCTACGACCTCTTCGCTGTCGACAACCACTATGGAGGCCTTGGTGGCGGACACTACACAGCGTACGCCAAGAACTTCTTCACCGGACAGTGGAACGAGTACAATGGTAAGATAACCTGAAACGCAGAATATCGGACAATTACTGACTGGACTAGATTCTTCCGTCTCGCGACCAATTGATCCGCAAAGTGTGGTCACCTCATCGGCGTATCTGCTGTTCTACCGGCGCCGATCCGACCGGCCACTGGGCGGCAAGGTGCTGGAGGAGATCACGGAAGCGTCGACACGGCCGAACAGCGACGTGGACTCGCAGTCCGAGTCTCGCGGACAGTCGCCGTCGGGGGAAGGCCGGCGTCTCGGCGGCTCCTCCCGCAATGGGTCGTCGAGCGCCTTAACCGGAGTCGGAGCAGCTCACCAATCGGGAGATGGTGGTTTGCCAACTGGAACCCAAACGAAGAGCGGGGATGATGACTGGCCGCCGGGCTACACCAACGTCCCGTCATTTGGCGAGCAGAGCCTAGATCGCGCGATGCAATCGGAAGGTATGAATTTCGAAGATGAGGAGATTGGCGGGGGCACGCAGCCCAGCCCGTTCCGCCCTCAGGACGACACACCCTCGTGGTCGTTCAGTCGCGCCACAGATGCTCACGGCCCTTCACAGATGACCACAGTTCCAACTGACGACGAGGATCTACTCGACGATGACGCGAGCAACCGGGCGGTAGACGACGGAGACGTCAGCGACCCGGACCTTCGGATGGCCTCTTTGATGGACAGTCCACGCGGGGCCGCCTATCCAGGTACCCCGATGGAGGAGACGTCATTCCCGGACATTTCGGCATTCGCAGCGGACGGCGACGATGATGAGGAGGATGAGTTGCCGGTGGTAGAACTCCAAGTGCATGATGAGGACCAGACACTGCCGTAGACAGGGGGATGATTCTCCCAATCTCTCTTACTGTCTTTTGGAAATGTGCAACGAATGATTACAGGTGTTTAGATCGCCCCACCGGGGATGGCGATAATGATCTTTCGCAGAGTGGATGATGATTTCGAGGAATGAAGTCGACGACCCTTATAATAGCCATGGTGTTTTGTTTTCTACGCAGCCCGGGAATAGAGAGGGCCGTGGATGGTTGCATGCATTTTTACGGGATCGGATGGCGGGTGCCGTCCTGCATTACATGTATTTTCGGAGCAGCTGGAGATGTTTTAAGCAAAAAAGGTGTGTTGAGTGAGATGATGTTTTGCAGAGGGATGATATGGGGATGATGAGTGTGTATGGATGAACCACGTGGGAGGTCATGGCGAGTCACACGCATGTGGCCGCTGTCATGCGATGCTGCAGATGCGAGGCTACTGCTAAATATATACTACTACTTTCATACCAGCCAGGCCATAGAATTTAAGTTATGTGGTCTTTCATGTTGTTCGTATACTTGGTCATTAAAGGTCTTGTCATCGGATGCAATCTTGACAAACTAGGGAACAGAAGTGAGGTCAATCACAGTAAAGTATTAGTAGTTATTACTACTGACAGCCTCGCCTGCCTAATCCGTTCTCTCACTCATCTCCATCTGTCAATCTATCTGCTCTACTTAGACTTTCTTCCTGCTTACCTTACCTTTCTACTGTTCTGTCAACTCAATCCTCCAGCACACATACATACACACACACACACAGTCATCAATCAGACTAGCTTCTTCAACACCCATCATCTCTTCCCTCACATCCAACCTATCTACCTCCCTCTTCTCACCTCAACCTCAACCTCAACCTCAACCAATTAATACAAAACTAAACCCAACCCAACCCACCACAATCTCAAACCAAACCAAAATGCATTCACCAATGACTTCATCCCCAAAAGCACAAAAAACCAAGAATACCCCCAACGGATCCGCATCATCCCACACCACGAACGCGAGAAGAAAACCCCTGATGGATTTCTCGTCTCTTCATCCGTGCTCTGCTTCGATGGATGATGAGGAGGATGAGGGTGAAGGTAGTATGCGATCATCGCACGCAGAGGTGGGATTATTCTCGGGGATGCATGCAGATTCGCATTCACATTCACATTCTCATCCGTTGTCATTGTCGTCGTCGGCTTCGACTCCTACTCGGATGCAGAGATACACTTCGTATCTGCCCAGGAATCAATCTCACTCGAACTATACTATTCCTTCGGGAGGTGAATCCACCCCGAAATCAAGCACTACAGCCATCACTGCCAGATTGAAATCGAATTCGAGATCGAAGGCCAAGTCCACGACGGCACACGTCCACTTCCTAGACCAGATTGATATCTCAGATGCAACTACATCTGCAGCTACAAACACAAATATGAACGGAAGCAAAAGCACAGAAGCAGATGGAATCACAGCTGGAGACAAAACCATGCCTCTTGGTCCTCGCAGTCGGGATCTCTCTCTTAGTGAGAGTGAGATTAGTTTGCTGGATATAGGTCCGAGTCTGGTGTATGGCGATGATGGATATATTCCGTTGTCTGGGGGTGGGTCATATGTGCGTGGACATGGGCATGGTGATGGTGTTGGTGGAGTTTCGGTGGTGGGGAGGGGGGTGCAGGGGTTGCATTTGGAGTGAGGAGTGAGGAGGGTGGTTTGTTGTAGATGGATGGAGTTTATGGTCTCTTGCTCTGTCGGGTCCGTGGGATAGAGGAGTTATTCCTGTTGTTAGAATAGTGTAGAGTATTTTCCTTTTCCGTCTGCTTGTTCCTTGTATTATGGACAGGGGTATTCAATGTTTGTGATTATAATACTTCATGAATATTACATACATTATGTTCTATATACTCTAACTGAGTCTATACAAGAGTCTGAATAGTTCCCACTCCAATAAGTACTCACTCACAGTGGAACCGGCCACCCATCCACATACGTCAAATAATTATATCCCAGCCGTGCTTCCTAAACCACACACCATTAGCCCACATCAAACCACCATCTCGGAAAAAATGAATAGATGAAACATACCTTGAACTCATATCCCACAGATTTATTCACTACCACAGCAAAGTTAGCACCATACCTCCCCATCAAAAAAGAATAAGGTATACTCACAATAATGATAATAAAGCACATCCCCCTCCACCTCCCCACTCAACACGCCCTGTCCTCCAGGCGCATAAACATCCCCATTCGAGCCATACACAATCTCCCCTCCACCATCCACGAGATCTCTTCCTTGTTTATCCACGAATGGTCCCTGAGGGGAAGATGAGCGTCCGACGCGGATGCTGTATCTGTTCCATTCATACCATCATCATGATCAGTATATAACTCCTTTTCTAGTCCCTCAAACAATGGCAAATAACAGGGGCGGGGAAGGGGAAGGGGAGGGGAAAGAAACATACTCCATCCCAGCCTTGGGCAACTTCTCCGGATCGAAATGGCAACACTTCCCCCAACTAAACCACAGATACCACCATGGCTCATGGTAGGATATAAACGCCCCTTCGACGGGATGCATACCCGTTGTATCGCCACATAATCCATCGGCTTTTTTGGTGGGTGGGTGGATGGCTGCTGGTTCATGGGCTAGATGTTTAACCCTTTCTTCTTCGTCGCCCTGCTTATCCATATGAAGCAGGTTAGGCTTCAGCGGGACTTGCCATATCCCTGTCCAGAAACTGCCGAAGGTCATGTATCCTTTTCCTTTCGGTTTGTTTTCACCGCCTTCTTTGAGAGATGGCTCTCCTTCGGAGAGCTGAGGTTGGGTGGTGTCAGTATAATCCACAACAACGCTTACATCAATCGCATTCGCCCTATCGAAGGGAAACTCCTTCCCCCGTTCCCCACGGCCGGAGATAGCTATCGCGCCGTGATCGACCCAGTTCCCAGGGCCCGGGGTGGATGAGGTGGCTACGCCGATGGCGCTATCGCGACAGCCGCTATGGCTCGTCGCGTAGAAGACGTAGAATGTGCCGTCGTGAAGGAGGGCGGTCGGTGCCCAGGGAGCTTTGCGATCACCTTTGGGTAGGATGCTATCTGCGTCGAGGACGGTGCCGGCTTTGGTCCATGGGCCTTGGAGGGTCGGGGCGGAGTGGATGGGGATGTGAGGGCCGGAGCCGTAGGCGTAGTAGGTGTTTGTGGGGAGGTCGTAGAGGATGCTGGGGTCGTGGATGTGGAGGGGTGGGATGGTGGGGTTGGTTGGGGGGTAGCCGTAGATGGACTTGTATGTATCTTCGGGGGAGGGAGGGGGGAGGTCTGGGGATTCTGGGATTTCGGGGGGTTGGGGGATGGTGGAGGGTTGGAAGTGGATGTAGAGGGCGTAGAGGAGGATGGAGAAGAAGGTCAGGAGGGAGAGGGATTTGATGATGCGACGGAGGGTGGATGGGGATGGGGAGATGGAGTTAGTGCTGGTGGTGTCTTTAGGGTTGGTGATGAAGGTCCATAGTTGGGACCAGTTGGGGGTCATTGTGTGGTGATGGGATGGTGGTTCATTGCTTGCTTGCTTGTTTCTTTGGTGGCGGGATTGATATATGGATGCTCAGTCCATGTGGAAATGCCAACTGGTGAGTATGTTGCAATTCGGGATAGCGATGATGCGATGTTCAGGATATAGATTGAAAAGAGGGGTATGGCGGCACCCTGTATCCTGGCAAGTGACACTCGACACTTCAGTTATTCGTGGCCGAATATCATGAATAGATGATGGTAGGTCTTGGCGAACCCCTTCCTGATGTTTCTCATCTACATATCCAATTAGTACCACTCTTGTGCTGTTCCGGGGAGCAACTCACATATCTGATGCTAGGAACACTGTAAAGCCAGCTGCATAACAAAGCAGTCAGCGCTAGCGAGAAGGACGGGGGAAGGGAGTTCAATAAATATCAGGAAGAATTGGCCCGAGCCGTTCGGCGATGATCGTCGATCCGGCCCCAATAAGACAACGGGCCAATCAGCGGGACGGCATGTGATGCCGTCTCAGCTAAAGTGAGGTGCGAGGATCACCATTGCTTGGTAGTTACACATCTACATTGACTAGTTCGGTAGCTACGATTATTTTCGCTAGGATTATGGCATATGGATCATGGCAGTTCAAGTAGCCGAACATCATTATACGCATCAATAGCATACAGGGTCCTGGGATCAACGCATGTCTTATCCAGCTCATAGCCGACATCACAATTGGCAGCTGGAAGTCATGCTAAGCACAAACCAACGCCCTCGCTCCATACCCTTTGGCAATAGATAGATATTCTACCTCACTACAATCTTGTCCACCTCATCTTTCGCCTCCGTCCACGTCTCCAGGTTCTTACGTGCCCAATCCAGATGGCATCGTGCATATGCAACCTATCCAGTTAGCTTGATACCCAGAGAAAACAGCAGTATGAACTTACCATGTACCGCCGGAGATCCATCTCCTTGTCCTTCTGGAACCGCTTCAGATCCTGCAACACTCCCGCACTGGCATCCTTGACATCCTTCTCGGACACCCCAAGAGCCTGCTCCAACTGAACCAAACTCTCTTTCGTCTTGCCGATCTGGTCGCGGCGGGTCCGCTCCGGATCAACATCCACAAAGCCGTGCACCGCGTGGCTGATCCGACCGAAGATCTTGTTCGCCACGAACGTCCCACTCGACGTCTTGCGATGCGCCGGCGATGCACCGCCAAAGTCCGGACGCCGCTGTGCTGCCGGAGGTGGATGGGAGTTGATGGAATCGCCGTGCGTAGGAGGGAATTCCGAGTCGACTGATGCACCGTCTTCAGAACCAGCTGGACGGGCCTCGCCCTCGGAGCCTCCTGGCGCACTGACGGCCGACGATGCGGACAGAGACCGCTGCGTTCTCGTGGCCCCACCTGGAGGCGAAGTCCGATTGAGGTATTGCTCAATGCGTTTCGCTTCCATTTCACTGCGCTCCAAAGAGTCGAGCAGCGTCTTCTTCTTAGCCAGCTCGTCTCGCGTCATCTCTTCCTGCACCCGCTTGAGGACCCGATAGCGCAGAACACTGCGCACAACGCTGGCAAACTGGGCGCTTTCCCTCATCGGTTCCGCGAAGCTGGCACTCAGTTGCGACGACAGCTCCTCCGTCTCAATGTAGGAAGTATCAGCGGCTTGGCCGACCCGTTCGATGGCTGCTGCGACGGTCGGCGATGGCTCCGACAGGGAGAATCCGTTATACCGTGCTCCCAGCTCCATCAAATCCGCTGACAAGGACGATAGGTGGGCCAACGTGCGACGATTGACCTTTTCAATGTTCCCTTGCAAAAGTAGCTCCAACTCACGTGTAGACGCCTCAAAGTTGATAAAGTATGGGTCAAGCTCCTTTTCGCTCAGCTTCCGTGACTCTGGTGGGAAGCGACCGAGAACATCAGGCCCAGGTGTTTCTGGAGCAGGCGCAGGAGCAGGCGTGGCGCCTCCTGCAGACTTGAGCTTCGCGGATGATGATGGGACTGGGAGCCAGGCATGAGCGGGGGTAGGATTGGCGGGGTCAAGCGGAGGAGCCTTAAGATTATTCTTCGGCACAGACGATGCAGGATGGGAGTGTAGGACCTCACTCTGGATGAAATCAGTATACCACAGCTAGAGTCGAGCTATCATACACCTACCCAGCTAACGTTGGGGTCCAAAAACCGCCACCAAACTCCATCCTCACGAACCTCCTTCATCCGGCGACAACGATTCAAAAAGACAGCCAGCATGCGTTTGCGGAGGTCGATTATGGCGGTGTCTTCCTTAGCTTTGGTGGGCTTGGCGGCATAATCGGCCATGGTATGTTTCTCGGGAATGGGCGGGATGACGAGGGTGGGATGAAGGTTGACAAGGGTCTGTCGCAGCGACGCAAACTCGGAATACCGTCTGCGGACCTCAAGATCCTAGAAACAATTAGCACAAGTGCTGATGCAGCTTCGACCTTGATTCTGACATACTCCAGTGCGTATTGTGTACACGATGAAGCTGCCGCCGCCCTCGTGGTTCTTCCCAGCGTCTGTGATGAGGATCGGCATCTCCGGGTTTTCGTAAAGAATCTGCTCTATCCGACTATCATATACACTCTTGCGAAGGTAGCCATGGCCAGCAGGTTGGGCAGCATAGTCTGGAGCATCGTCTTCGTCACTGAGGTCCTGTTGCTGTGAGAGGAAGTCCGGGGGATTGTCGGTGGATGATCGGCTGGAAGGAGAGGGAGGGGTATATTCGCGGTCATAGAGAGCTGCAGAAATTAGAAAATACAGCTGGATAATTGATGGTCGGAGATGGAGCTTGACAGCTTACTGGGAGAAAGGGTGGCCGAATGCAGCGACTCGGAGAGATGCGCCTCGTTATCGAATGCGCCGTACGGGTTGTTATCCTCGTCGTTCCACATGGCGTCGGGGGGGCTGATGGAGCAGCCTAGATACTGAGAGAGTGGGTGTGACAGATCAAATCATGAATCAGACAGGAGGATTAGAAAGCAGAGGCTAAGTTCACGAGACTAAGGGACAGAAACAGGGAGGACAGGAGGAGGGAATGAGCTGGGGAATCCCGAAGGCATCGCCGGCTCTCTCGCGGGGATCAACGTCACCGCCTCGGGCGGCCGGCAGCGACCATCTCCGTCGCCTTAAATAGAACTAACTATCAATACTACACTCCACTCCCA